GCATGTGCGTGCGTGTGTGTGTGTGTGTGTGTGTGTGTGCGTGTGTGTGTGCGTGTGTGTGTGCATGCATGCGTGTGTGTGTGTGTGTGTGTGTGTGTGTGTGTGCGTGCGCGTGTATGTGTGTTTGTGTGTGTGTGTGTGCGTGTGTGTGCGTGCGTGTGTGTGTGTGTGTGTGTGTGTGTGTGTGTGTGTGTGTGTGTGTGCATGATGCAGGTGACATACTGCTGTATGACCTACGCGCTGGGGACAAACTGAAGGAGCGGATCTCAGCACACTCCTCGCCTGTATCTGTACTCGTAGCCCGATCATCCTCAACTGGATCCTCTGTAGGTATTTCCAGTAATATTAAAGCCGGTGCTGTAGAAGTCCATAAATACAGTAAAAACTGTAACTAAAGACCACCGTGACTAGCGACCAGCCTGCTACTACAGTAAAACCTGTAACTAAAGACCACCGTGACTAGCGACCAGCCTGCTACTACAGTAAAACCTGTAGCTAAAGACCACCGTGACTAGCGACCAGCCTGGTACTACAGTAAAACCTGTAACTAAAGACCACCGTGACTAGCGACCAGCCTGGTACTACAGTAAAACCTGTAACTAAAGACCACCATGACTAGCGACCAGCCTGGTACTACAGTAAAACCTGTAACTAAAGACCACCGTGACTAGCGACCAGCCTGGTACTACAGTAAAACCTGTAACTAAAGACCACCGTGACTAGCGACCAGCCTGGTACTACAGTAAATCCTGTAACTAAAGATCACCGTGACTAGCGACCAGCCTGGTACTACAGTAAAACCTGTAACTAAAGACCACCGTGACTAGCGACCAGCCTGGTACTACAGACCACCGTGACTAGCGACCAGCCTGGTACTGCAGACCACTTCGCCAGGCACGGATGGTCTCACATTCATATCTGGTTGTGCGGTGCAAACCTCTAACTAAGGACCACCTGCCACTAAAGACCGCTTTCTCTGGCCCCAAGGCCAAGGGGTGGTCGTTAGTCACAGGTGTTACTCTACACACATACGTATTCTTAGAATTCAGCGGTCCCATCCGTACTGCTAACTTTGGGGCGGTGTATGAACTGACATAGAGTGCTTTCACGTCTGTCACATGGTTCCAACTCCACAGTCCACTCAACCTCTGCATCTATGGGTCACATGACGTCGGTGGCCATGCTGATTCCACTGTCCGCATGACGTGATCACGTTCTGCACAGATGTGGTCACATGACAAACTGATGTGAAACCACTCCATTCGAGCCTGACATGCGCATAGTGCGCATGATGATAACGTCCTGTCCAGTTCATGGTATACTGCTGTGGACATTGAAGTCCGTCGAGAAGTCAAGCGGCCACGGGGCGCTGGCCTTGCAGCCGTGAACACTGCCGGTCCATTTTTACAGTATGAACGTGAAGTACAGTGCGTGTACGCGCTAAGGCAGTAAGGGCGCCGGCCCCGCGGTCATTCCACCGGATTTCAATCAGTCCACAACAGTACATGACACATGTATATGCTGTGTGTGTGTGTGTGTGTGTGTGTGTGTGTGTGTGTGTGTGTGTGTGTGTGTGTGTGTGTGTGTGTGTGTGTGTGTGTGTGTGGAGGGTGAATACTGAATACTGAATACTCACAGTGGCCGCATGGGCCAGTGCACAAGAATGGGGACAACTTGAGGACGGATTTAGTTATAACTTGAAGTTTCGTGCATCGGGCAATCCTCTGACAGCAGGCCGAGTTGTTCTTATTCTTGTGTGAAAACGCTCTGCCATTACACGTATTGAGTCCTGTGCACAGATTCAAGAAGTCCGAGGTTTATTGGCTCAGTATGTTTATAGGGCGAGACTCAACGGCAGTTGTGGGTGAAAGAAAGTGCTTGTTTCCGGTGCATGCCAGTACTCACTCGTGGAGTTTTACAGTTTTCTTGTTCAAGATACCCGTAATGCCACGGCCATTGTCGCTTTACTTGAGTGGTTCATGTGTTCTCTCTCTCTCTCTCCCTCTCTCTCTCTCTCTCTCTCTCTCTCTCTCTCTCCTTCTCTTTCTCTCTCTCTCTCTTTCTCTCCTCTCTTTCCTTCCCTCTCGCAGTCTTCAGCCATTGCAATCTATCTGGTGATGCAGTACGCCTGCGTCTCTTCTTGCAACGAGCATTTTCGTGCATGTCATGGCAATCTCTCTCCTCTCTCCTGTTCTAGTTGCTTGTTGGCTGGTCTCTGAATAATTATCTACCTGCGTGTGTGTGTGTGCGTGTTCAGGGTGGCTCGGCACGTCGTTCCAAGTCTGGGTCAGCGAGCAGTGCGGCGTCCAACGGCCGTACGAAGGCTGTCGGCAGAGCTCCCACGTCCGCTACGCTATCGGAGAGACCAGAGGACGGAGGCGCCAGCACGAAGGCTGCATCGGAAGCCAGTCCGTCACTACCGACACTGGCAAGCCTGCGACCCGACCCCAAGCAGCAAACACCAACGCTGGACGCTCAGGAGCCTCGCTCGTTGCTCTCTGCTACTCTACTTTCGTCGATGACAAGTGCAGACACCGGTGCGTCGCAACATCACTCTGCAGTTTCTCACCCGGGAAGCGGTAGCAGTGTTCTACTTCACAGTGGCTCCAGACCAGTTGTGACCAGCATCAACCCTTCACCGATATCTTCCGTCGGTTTTTCCACAACTGCATCCACCGTCACAGCACCGATGGCCGGTATGGATGCCATCGGCGCACACCTAGGCCCCGCGCCGGGGTCCTCCGGTGTCGTCGCCATCGGATCGCCCGCTCTGTCGAGTTCTGAGCGTGATCGCAATGCGACGGCAGTGCGGACGCAGCAGCGGACTGGTGCAGCGCCTGCGAAGCCCGCTGCCGTCAACCTGACCAGTTTGGGTGAAGGCGACATCTTCTCGCCACTGAAGACAGGTTAGTCGGGATTACTAGTACACTAGCCATGCAGCCCATCCCTCCTTGCATGGCCCTTCCCTGCTTTCAGCCGGTGTGAAAATAGGTCCTCGGTGTTACTTATCCTTCCTCTGCTTTCAGCCGGTGTGAGAATAGGTCCTCGGTGTTACCTATCCTTTCTCTGCTTTCAGCCGGTGTGAAAATAGGTCCTCGGTGTTACCTATCCTTTCTCTGCTTCCATCCAGTGTGAAAAGACGTCCCCATCCTTGGAAAATAGCTCCCCTATGTTCCTTGCAAGTCCCACTTATTGTTTCTGTTCGTAAAAGGAAATTGCAATTTTGGGTCATATTGTTCGTTCCGGCTGTTTGTCATTGACTGTTTTTCAGGGTTGTGTTGCTGGAGGTCGTGGCCGAGGCAGGCCCAGAATGTCATGGCTTGATAATATTATTTCATGGACTGCACTTGACGTGCAGTTCCTGCTCGCTGCTGCATGCGATCGATTTTTATGGCGCTCGCTTGTTCATACTTACTCTGTGACGCCCCGACGGCCTTAGGGCTATGGGCTTGTGATGATGTGATGATGATGTTCCTTGCTTAGCCTTTCACTGCATTCATCCAGCGTGAGAATGCTGTACTGTATAGGTTCCCGGTGTTCCTTGGTTCTCTGACCAGTAGACCAGTTCGCATTGGCTTTGGCGAACACTGACTAGGCACTGGGTGTTTGGACAAGTGGTAAACTCTCAGTGTATACTCCAGGGTACCGGATGCGACTTACAATCGAGAAAGACTTCCTACTTGCATGTGTGTGCATATGCCTAAACTAAATTATTCCAGGTCCAAACAACATGTTACCGGATCGTTGCTTCGGCATGACACCTTGAGTTACAACATAACCCACTTGGATCCTCTCTCTTTCGTATGTTCAAACCGGAATGGCTAAGACCTGAAAATGTGTGTGTGGGGGGGGGGGTACAACTTATCAAATGCGGCTTACTATAACACTCTATCGGGGAAATATGGTATGCTTAGCATTGCTACAGTGAGGCCTTTCCCATAAGTTCCGGCCCGGTATGACATCATCTCTCCACGGGGGTGTCTCGTATTGCACTTTACGGGACATTGTAGTTACTTTTGGTGGTGTACAGTAACTGTGTAGTGTTGCTCGCTTTCCTACTCTTGTTGTGACCTGCAGCACCGCCGAGTGGTCAAGCATCCGACCGCAATCATCTAGCGTCCAGCCCATCGCTACCCCAGCCATCCGCTCTGCTAGGCACCAGCAGTCGGCGTGCGATTGCCGCCGCCTCTGCCACTCACCGTCCCTCGCCACTGGCTACGCTGTCTAATAGAGGTGAGTTGTTTCTCGAGCAGGGTGTATGTGTGGGTGTACGTGCGTGTGGGTGAGTGTGGGGGGGGGGGGGTACCATGATGCTGTCAATCTCTTTTCTGCACCTAGTCCTTACCCACTTACTTGAGGTGTGGTGAGCCCATAACTGGGGTCGTTAATTTGGATATGTTGATGCCGCCAATCCTTTTTATGCACCTAGTCCTCACCCACTTACTGAGGTGTGGTGAGCCCATGAGTGGGATCACTTCCAAGTCCACCCAGGGTTTGGGGGTTTCAGGAGGTGTCAGCCGTTGGGCAGTTGGTCAAATAGCCAATTGAGTCCTCCTTCCGAGGTTCCTTTTGAATCTCTCTCCCCTCTCCCGCATCGACCGCCGTAACCAGTTTATGGCAGTGAGCAAGTACAAGTGTGCCTGTGTGTCTTTTGTCTATGCCCTTGTACAATGTGTGTTGCACTGCCAGGTCACGATGATCATGTTAAAAATCGTATGACGGTGGTGCCCGTGTTTCAACTTGATGAATGAAATGTTGCTTTTCTAGCCCAGACTGCTGTACCTCGCCAATATGTATATCTTGTATTAAAAGGCATGTAACTTACATGTATTGTGTTTGTGCTGTGTGTGTGTGTGTGTGTGTGTGTGTGTGTACATGTGTCTGTGTGTGTGCGTGTGTGTGTGTACATGTGTCTGTGTATGTGTGTGTGTACATGTGTCTGTGTCTGCCCGTACTCTGATGTAGATGTCAACTGGTCATCGGCGGCGTCGGCAGCCCCGGCATCGCGCTCCCTGCAGCAAGCCGAGGGCATGGAGACAACGACCAGTAGCGCTGGCAGCGGCGGCAGATCCATGCCTGTGTCGGCTGTGTCCACGTCCATCTCATCCTCTGTGCTGTCCTCCTCACAGCAGCAACAGCAGCATCGCTACTCTCCACACTCCGCCAACACTGCGCTCAATACATCCAGTCAATATTTTCAGCGCGCAAGCCATGCGCCTGCTTCAGCGCCCGCTGCAGCTTCTGCGTCTTCAAGCACCAGCGCAGGACTAGGCTCAGTCGGCAGTGGTGGTGGTAGTGCTGATAGTAGATATCTATTCCAACGCGACACCATCGACGGCAGTGAGGGAAGTCCGACGGCGCGCTCTGCCACTCAGGTAGGTGTGCGTGTGTGTGTGTGGGGGGGGGGGGGGTGCTTGTATGTATGTGTGGGTGTGCTGTTGCTTCGTCACACTTTTCAGTGTGTTGCCCAGAGCACGTAACCCACAAGAACGTACAATTCTCATGCACAATTCTGTCCTGTCAGAATTTCACATCTCAGAAGTAGCGACAAACTCGGCCATTTGAGAATAATCTGAACCGTCCACCGCTCCACACTGCGAGGAAGTTCCAAGAAAGAACTTCCTCGCAGTGTAGAGTATGATGTTGTGAATGTGGGCCAAGAGCGCAGTGTAGAGAGGTGGACGGTTCAGAATTTCACATCGATGTCTTTATTTTAAAAGATGCCATAAAGCATGCTAGCTGTTCAGCAAATGCCCAGACGCATTTGTCCTATGCACTGCAGAGAGACAACATCAGCAATACATCATCAAGAATAGGCATCCGTTGAACATCAACCATATTGGTTGTTGTGGTGGTGGTGCTGCTGCTGCTGCTGTTGTTGTTGTTGTTGTTGTTGTTGTTGCTACTCTGACCCAATCCCTGCCCATGGTGTGTGCAGGCACCAGCAACGTCTGCACAGTCGTTGTCACATCGGCATATCCTCGGTGCAGCGCGCTCTGCCCTGGCCGCAGGCAGCAGCAGCACGCCAGCATCCCTACTGGCGTCTGCAGGCATCGCATCGCACAGTGCCAGCAACACTGCTGGCGCTACATCCTCTGCAGCGGCAGCAGGCATCGCATCGCACACCACGAGCAGCTCATCGGTTCAGGCAATAGCGTCCGCTCTGGACCAGCTCGTCTCGCCGACCAAATCCAGTACGTCGTCTTCACGCACGCCAATCGATCATCCGCGTGCCCTGTCGCAGGCACCAATGCCAGCATCATCGGCTGTGACTGCAGGCAGCATGATCTCCCCGGATGCCAATGCTCCGCTCCACTCAGCCATGTTGCAGCACATGATAGACCAATCAGTGGACGAGTTACGGTGAGTCTGGCCGGACAATCCGTTACATGTACAGTACTGGCCAAAGAAATCCAACCTCATGAATAAAATAGCATTGCCGGGCGCTACGCACACTCATTACTGGTCTGTGCACTCGAACGCAGCGCTACTTTATTCATGAGGTTGGATTTCTCTGGCCAGGAGCTGTACGTTGATGTACTCACCGCCTTGAGTACGGCTAGCAGATCACTACTGTTACGGGTACATGTACACGTATAACATGTTATTTTCGGTGGAATCTTAATTTCGGTGGTTTCGGTAGAGAAATCAGGTACATGCCTAAGAATCAACTTGAATTTTGTAGTGGTTGCATACAGTGCTTGTCAATGAAGCAATCAAGTGTGTGTGTGTGTGTGTGTGCACGTGTGTGTATGTGTGTGTGTGCACGTGTGTATATGTGTGTGTGTGTGTGCCCGTGTGTGTGCCCGTGTGTGTGCACTCACAGCCTGGCCGTGCATCAGCACATCCGCAATGTACACGTCAACCTCATCCGACAGATTGGCGATCAGACGGTAAGTCTCTGTGCTCGGTGGGCAGTGCGTTTGTATGTGTGTTTGTTATTGCATGATCTGTAAGTACGTCCCTGTGCTTGGTGAGCAGTGTGTTTGTTATTGCACAATCATGACACACGGCTATTTCTTCAGGCTTCTTCTTAATCAGAGCCACCTGTATACGGCAGAGCGTTGCAAATCTCACACTGCTAGTGGGCCATCATGGCCTGTTGGGCTGCATGAGCTGAGGGTGGTGCGCTTTGATATCCCTTCGAGGAATCCTCTCTTGTCTTGTAACCCCGTTCGATGCTCGCATCTCTCTGTCCCTCTCCAGGCTGAACTGCTTGCAGCTCAGTCACAGCAGTATGAGGCCACAGACGCCTTGCTCATGGAGATGCAGTTCTTGCGCGAAGAGATCAGGCGACTTCAGGAGCGCTACTGACGCGCCGCACAACACCACAGCACATTCCCAGTCTAGTAATGCACGTGCACACAAGCGTGCGCACGCATACGCACACATGTGCACGCGCACACCACAATCACCACCGCCACCACCCTCAGTATTTTCCAGCTTACTCATTTTTCTCATTTTAACTTCATGGACCACTCTAGTAGTCTGTCGTGACAATTGAAATAAATTATACCCGTGGTGTTTGAGTGATGAAATTTCGTAATAATCAGAACGCTGATGTCATGAAAGAATAGGCAACTTTTTCATTTCTTATGTAGCTTCTAGGCCAGCCGCGGCGGGACACCTACTTAACTGCGTACGTCTACACTGCGTTATGGAATATTTAGCAGGATTTTTTTCAATGAGACGTTTTGTGAACCGTTTCTAGTATTGTACGCACGATTGACAATTGATTGTCTGCCATTTGTACTCTATCTCTTTTTTAATTTTTTTTAATGCTTCTTGATAAGTAGGAGTTGTTGTGTTCTAGTGTTCATTTGAAAGCATATACTGTAGTTCTCCAGTTGCTGGTGACACTGAAGATGACAACCATCAACACAAGTATTTTTGTGGGTGTGGGTGTGCGCACAAGTTAGGTGCCTTGTCTAACAATAAATAGCTCGTTTGCTATCATTGCTCCACTGAGCGATGGGCATGCATTTGTGTGTGTGTGTGTGCACGCTAGTTGTGCGAGCAAGTAGCGCATACGAACGTAAGTGTGCGCCTATCAGTCTTCTAGATGAGAGCAATACGGGTGCATGTAGTTGTCTGACAGTACATGGCGGACTGCCAGTGAGTGACAATAAGAACGGTGGCAGCAAACGCTTCGAAAAGTGACTCCTGCAGACCAACCATCGAGCCAGCAGTGCCCACAGTCTAGTGGCATTGTAAACTTACTGGAAAGCTATGTGCACACTGTGGTGGTGCGTTTCAAGGCAGCCAGCTAACTTGGCTCGTGAGGACTTGCTCGATTTGTTATTCGGCAAACGTGGAAGTGAGTCCCAGCAGGGAGCCCGACACTCGTGTGTAGGGTGAGTCACCGCGTCCTAGCAGTCGTGACCGTCCTGAATACTAACAGCTAGATGGCATGTCCGCATGTGTCATCGGACTCATCACAGGCGGTGCCAGCCGTTAGCTGCGCGGGTACGGGTGTGAAGAACACAACACCGGCGATCTATCACAGCTCTGACGAGTGCTTGTGTTGAAACAGCAGTACGTGCAGGTCTGAGACGTTTGTACCCGTCGCTCCCGTCACAAGCAGATCTTTCCCGCTGCCGTGGTTCTTGAAGAACGAATAGGCATCGTTGTCGACGAGACATGCTGCGGCTTCTTTCATTGATGCTCCTAGCCAGACACACAGTTGGACGATGTTGGGAGTGCACACACATACATACGCACACACACATACATGTGTACATACACACACACACACACACACACACACACATGCACACACACACACACACACACACACACACACACACACACACACACACACACACACACACACACACACACACACACACACACACACACACACACACACACACACACACACACACACACAAACATACACACACACACACACACACACACACACACACACACACACACACACACACACACACACACACACACACACACACACACACACACACACACACACACACACACACACACACACACACACACACACACACACAAACATACACACACACACACACACACACACACACACACACACACACACACACACACACACAAACATACACACACACACACACACACACACACACACACACACACACACACACACACACACACACACACACACACACACACACACACACACACACACACACACACACACACACACACAAACATACACACACACACACACACACACACACACACACACACACACACACACAAACATACACACACACACACACACACACACACACACACACACACACACACACACACACACACACACACACACACACACACACACACACACACACACACACACACACACACACACACACACACACACACACACACACACACACACACACACACACATACGCGTACGCACAGTAAGTTACACTGAAACATACGTGCATGAACTCGTAGAGACAGATTCCTGTGGTAACACTTCGGTTGCTACAGGGTGCGCCTCTGCATCATGATAGTGGAATGTGGAAATCATAGAAGCATTATTGCCTAAACTTGGATGTGCCGGTATGTGAACAATAGAGAGGTTACGCATAACGTAATTACGTTAGTAAAAAACATAGTCGATCTACGGAAAGTCTTACGTAAACTGCATGCGCATCTGTGTTCCGCCATACGGAGTTTTCAAATCACGTAGCTGCCCTTGGCAACTCCAAACGCGGCAGTGTACGACCAGATCGATCTGGGGAGAGAGTCATAAATTTGTACCCCAATCCACTTACGGACCAGCTACGTTATCAGAGCCCTATCTACGTACTCTACGTAGACAACTTTCCGTAAGTGGAGTGCAAACTCGCGAATTCACGGGTTTTCCCCGCCCACTAACGTAAAGTTGCTCAACTTTACGTAGTGCGGAACCTCTCTAATGGCTGCGGGAAGCTGGGAGCCTATCGATACGGTGAAACCTCTTTAGGACGAACATCCAGGGTATACCCTGTCAATTGTCAATGCACATGGATTCATTCATTTGAATTTAATACTACATCTAATTCATCTAAAGCGAATGTTAGTCTTATCAGCACGATCTCCAGTGTGGGGAGCAAACACTTTCCCAGTGTTCTTCTTTTAAAACGAGGTTTCACTGTAAATACTCAATAGTACCCACCGGACTTGAACTCAACACTTACCAATGCCATCGGAATGCGCCATGGCACCGCAGGCATCCGTCGGTCCGTCGATTCCGTCCGTGCCAGCCGCCAGTAGGAGTGCCGTCATGTCACTACACGCTCTGCTATCTGACGACGGCGGTGATGACGGCGGTAGTGCAGCTTTGCCTTGTCGCCGATGACTACCGCTACTGGCAGTGGTGACCTCCACGGCGGCGCGCAGAGCAAGCTGCTGGCTGCGACCGCCCAGACCAGTGCCGCGGACGTTCACGGTCGGCTCTGCACCGGCCACAAAGCAGAAACTCTTCTGTTGCCTGTAAGAGGAAAGCAAACGGCAAGCCCAGTACATCACCACATACAGTCCTCTTTTTTTTAATTTTATCCCGTGGCTCTCCAACCGAGTCTAATCTGTAAAGTGGGAAACTTTCGCAAGGGATTAAATTTCGCTTTTTTTGTGACCATCACACATTTCAAAATTCTAAGGGACACGTCATGCAGTGAATGAATCACACAATACGATTTCAAATTTACACCGCCACAAACTGCTTTGTACATTGATTGTGGACGATTCATGATGCGACTGATGAGAAAAAATCGCAAAAGATTCTCATCATGAACCAGATCAATTCCTGAGAACGCAAAATTTGCGCACCGTGCAAGTTTATTGTGATACAGTAGCCAGATAGTTTTTAATAGGGCATGAAACTTTGTTGAAAGCGATGCGGTCAGTAGTCAACAAATTATGACTTCTGGGTCAAAATGGGTACACTCTGGCCATACCAAAGTACAATACGGTATGAGAACCTTAGCACATGTACACTAAGGTTCTCACATCGTACAAACTTAGTGGCACTTTGCCATACGATTTTCCTTCCCCTGGCTGTAAAAATCAAGGTGTGTGTGTGTGTGTGTGTGTGTGTGTGTGTGTGTGTGTGTGTGTGTGTGTGTGTGAGGGGGGGGGGGGGGGCTCTCGCAGTACTTTACACAGTACAGGTACTTGAACACATTGTATAGAGAGGAAGTTGCTCAACCTGCGGACAGCATGCTGTTTCGTTCTTTGTGAACTCATCAGCGCAGCACAGAGAAATTGAGCCCGAGCCTGATAGAGTGGAAGTTATCTATTCGTACACACCATCTCGCGCTGCAGTGCACACACACACATACTCACTGACAGGCCTCCACTACAGCCGTAGCCAGGTCTTCATCGTCAAGGCGCGACATGATCCACTGGTAGAGCTCCGCTAGCGACGAGCCACAGCCGCGGTACGCCGCACTCGCCAAGTGCATCCAGCGACCGTAGAAGCAGCCCAGCTCGTCGGCATCCCCTGTACGGAGCATCACCGCAACACAAGACAGCAGTATCCACAGAGAATCAATAAGCCCATTGCGTAGTGACGTGATTTGTACCGTCAACACCCCACACAGCCACCTGGGTATGATCGTCTGGGGTGTTGAACAGTGCATCGCTGATCCCAGTGTACTCACATGCATTACTCATACCTTCCATATTTGGCAATGGGCTTATACAGACTACTTACCACACGAATAGAGAAGCCAGTTGTGAATCTGATGAGGCGCTTCGCACCATTACTTCTCAAATCAGTACAGTGGTGATTGGTATGAAAGGCCTCACCAGGTTCACAACTGGCTTCGTCTCTTCGTGTGATAATATGTTCCCCTCCAATACAGACTCCGTGAAAATACCATTGGCAAACTGGCGAGCACATTCCGGAATTATAATTAAATTTTGCAAAGCCAACCGTTTTTTAAAGCTTTTCTCACAATCTGCTATGATACGTACAGCCACTATTCTTTGCCTTCCATTCACTACAGCCCCCAGCCTAGCTAGCTGTCCTGAAGTGGCCCAAGCTAGATCAAAGAGCATGTTTGACAGTCCAAGTACAGTTGCGCTCGGTACAGACCGTGCTCTGATGCATTGGCCCGTGAGCCTGGGTCAGTGCACTGTTGGTAACATGCCGCTCGACAGTACAGATCACACAATGGTAAGGTTGGGAACTTATAGTATGTTATGATGTGGTATGGTGTGGTATGGTGTGGTATGGTGTGGTATGGTGTGGTATGGTGTGGTATGGTGTGGTATGGTGTGGTATGGTGTGGTATGGTGTGGTATGGTATGGTGTGGTATGGTATGGTGTGGTATGATGTGGTATGGTGTGGTATGGTGTGGTATGGTGTGGTATGGTGTGGTATGGTGTGGTGTGGTGTGGTATGGTGTGGTATGGTGTGGTATGGTGTGGTATGGTGTGGTATGGTGTGGTATGGTGTGGTATGGTGTGGTGTGGTGTGGTATGGTGTGGTATGGTGTGGTATGGTGTGGTATGGTGTGGTATGGTGTGGTATGGTGTGGTGTGGTGTGGTATGGTGTGGTATGGTGTGGTGTGGTGTGGTATGGTGTGGTATGGTGTGGTATGGTGTGGTATGGTGTGGTATGGTATGGTGTGGTATGGTATGGTGTGGTATGATGTGGTATGGTGTGGTATGGTGTGGTATGGTGTGGTATGGTGTGGTATGGTGTGGTATGGTGTGGTGTGGTGTGGTATGGTGTGGTATGGTGTGGTATGGTGTGGTATGGTGTGGTATGGTGTGGTATGGTGTGGTATGGTGTGGTATGGTGTGGTATGGTGTGGTATGGTGTGGTGTGGTGTGGTATGGTGTGGTATGGTGTGGTATGGTGTGGTATGGTGTGGTATGGTGTGGTGTGGTGTGGTATGGTGTGGTATGGTGTGGTATGGTGTGGTATGGTGTTCTTTAATTTACTTCAAGCAATGATGCCTTCTCACCAGCCAATGGCTGGCTCTCACAGAATGATGAAATATTATAGATTAATTCAATGATTATGACGATAACTTAAAAACGAAGTATAAGGTACATGTAGAGACGTTATGACAGTCATGCTCTAGCCGCTGCTGTACCTATTAGTCCATAGTACGGGAATGTGACTTGCACATGTCGCGATGCCTCGGTCACGGCTGCGTCCACGGCAGTTCGGTTGCTACCGATGATGCAGTTGGTAACCCTTGACGATGGAAACTGCTCCGGTGTGGCGCTTGAGCCCTACCAGTGAAAAACACAGTCCGCATTATGGTTTTAAACCACCGTAGTAATATTACCGTATTTTCCGGAGTATAGTGCGCACCTTTGTATAACGCGCACCCCCAATCTTCATTGGGGATGCGCACTTCAATCTTCATTGAAGTACATGCATTTCATATTCGGAGCATAGTGCACACCTGCGATTTAGGGCCTAAAATAGCACATCTAAAGTGCGCACTATACTCCGGAAAATACGGTACGACGACAGCACTATGTATGCAGCATGTGCTGAAGTCATAACATCCTTACTATACACACAGTGAGCGAGCATTGCAGAGTGATTGCTATGCCCATGCATGGCGCATTTGATGAAGTCATAATATTTCTACTGTATACACACAGTGAGTGAGCATTGCAGAGTGATTGCTATGCCCATGCATGGCGCATTTGATGAAGTCATAATATTACTACTGTATACACACAGTGAGCGAGCATTGCAGAGTGATTGCTATGCCCATGCATGGCGCATTTGATGAAGTCATAATATTTCTACTGTACACACACACAGTGAGTGAGCATTGCAGAGTGATTGCTATGCCCATGCATGGCGCATTTGATGAAGTCATAATATTACTACTGTACACACACAGTGAGTGAGCATTGCAGAGTGATTGCTATGCCCATGCATGGCGCATTTGATGAAGTCATAATATTTCTACTGTACACACAGTGAGTGAGCATTGCAGAGTGATTGCTATGCCCATGCATGGTGCATTTGATGAAGTCATAATATTTCTACTGTACACACACAGTGAGCGAGCATTGCAGAGTGATTGCTATGCCCATGCATGGCGCATTTGATGAAGTCATAATATTTCTACTGTACACACACACAGTGAGTGAGCATTGCAGAGTGATTGCTATGCCCATGCATGGCGCATTTGATGAAGTCATAATATTACTACTGTACACACACAGTGAGTGAGCATTGCAGAGTGATTGCTATGCCCATGCATGGCGCATTTGATGAAGTCATAATATTACTACTGTACACACACAGTGAGTGAGCATTGCAGAGTGATTGCTATGCCCATGCATGGCGCATTTGATGAAGTCATAATATTTCTACTGTACACACACAGTGAGTGAGCATTACAGGGTGATTGATGTGTCTATGCATGTACAGAGCAAAGAGTCGTATTTCGTAGACAAACGTATGCTCATAGCCTCCTACCGTTGACTCCAGAAACTCTCGAACCGCACGCGGCAGCTGTGGCAAAACACCAAGACTGGAGCATATCTTCACGCAGTCCTCTCTCGTAGTGTCGGCATTGCACGTTGGCCCGCCAGCGATGATGTCGAGGCGGTCATCAAGAACATCCGACAGCACTAACGACAGCACCTGTAGACAAAATACACGCACAGACACACACATACATGCAGGCAGATATGAGCACCCACACATGCAAACACACATGCACACAAGCACATACATACACATGTGTGCATGCGCATACACCATTGGACCATTGGATGCCCATCGCCGGAGGCGATGATAGCGATGCTACAGCAGAAGCCATAGCAGCTTGTGCTGGGATTGCACCATTCAACAGCTTGCAAGGCTGAAGAATTGACCGCCACTATTCAGCCTGGTCTACACAACACAGCTACACAGCATGCGCATACACACACGCACACACACACACGCATGCACAGTCACACACATACACACACACACACACACACACGAATAAGTGCTAAGCCAGCAGTATTCTTCGCGTACCTGTGCCGGCTGAGCAAGCCGAGCCAGACCGCCGGCCTTGAACTGGGAGAGATGATGTCGGACAGTGTTGAGCTGAGTAATGTCTGCACCTGCTTGGGCAAGCAGCTGAGTGGTGCGCCGCTTTTCTTCCAGAGTTATACCTAGTACATAGAGGAATCAGAGAGGCTGGAATTTAAATGCGGCCGAAGTGTGTTTTAGAACTGGGAGGCCGAAATTTAAACGCACCGAAAATCTGTGGACTTGCTGTAGTCCATGTAGATTGGCTGTATGAGCAGCACACGGACACGCCCACACACACCTCGTGTACCTAGGCAGCTGCAGCGTCGAACCACCCCTCGGATATCAGCGCCATCAGTAGATCCGACCCTTGGCCCCAGTGTTGCCGCTGAGTGCCTCAAAGACAATAACAGCTTCTGTGCATGCGTGCATGGCTCACTCACCATCGACGGGCATCGACAAGAATTTCGGAAAATGGAAAAAAAGGCTATGGCCGTAGGGCTGAAACGAATGCTCAATGAAGCGAACGAATATTCTTTTTCCGAATACATGCGAAACGAAGAATATTCCGAATATTCTAAACCGTGCAATTTCCATGGATACCTAGTTTTATCCATGGTTACCATAGACCATTAACTGGTACAAGAGAGACATTTGAAAAATCATTTGTCTTGCTGATTATAACACATCGAAAGAAGCAAGCCTACTTATATTTTGCACCAAATAACTTTTAAGCTTGATCGATGTCAAAAAGGCGAGTTTCTGTACATTTAGGAATATTCCTATTCTACTTTAACGGAGAATATTCTTTTTCCGCCTTGCATATTTCGAATATTTGAATAATTTGAATATTCCTTTTAGCCCTAGTTATGAGGTAACTGTTTCCCCTCCCCCTACTATTTTGACCTGGCTGGAACCCTGAATGGCCTCTGCAAGAGTGTGTGCACGAGTGCATGGCTCACTCACCATCGACGGGCATCGGCAACAGCGCCGAACCGCCGCCGGATATTAGCACTATCAGCAGATCCGACCGGTCACACGCCTCCGCAATGTCACGGATCTCCCAGGCGGCCGATGCAGCACTCGCATCCGGCAGGTTGTGCCGAGCGCCGTGGTGTAGACTAGAACGGGAAGACATGTACATCGTTGAAAGGAAAAGGACATATGGATACGAGTTACTACATTTATTGTTGGCTCAACATCCGAGTTTCATGTACATTGTACTAGGGAATTATTGCGAAGAACGCTATCATGAGGTAGCGGTAGCGACTTCGGTGATGATTTTATAGGAAAGGTGTGTGCTCCCCGCACCGGAGCAAACACCTTTCCGAACGCCATCGTGTCCAGAAAACAGTGCAAGCGGCAAGATCTATCCAGCAGAATGTCACGCACAACTACTGTTCCACGCACGTGATTAGCGGCCCTCTCCAGCTTTTTAAACCACGCCAGCCATGCATATCATCCCCTAGGGACAAAAACAAATATTCTTGTCTTGGAGCAGAAGCAATCATATACAGAGCATACTGGTATGAGGAGTCCCACTTGGTCGTACAGTGAAACCTGTCAAGGCGACCACTCGGGCAAGGCGACCACCTGTCCCAGAAGACCATTACAAACAGGACCAAGGGATGCTATTTCCAGTCCAATGACCCTGGATCAGGAGACCACCTGGTAACAGAGACCACGTTTTGAAGGTCCCTTGAGCGGTCGTCTTAGACTGGTTTCACTGTAACCATGACGATGGTCACACAGCAACGGTCCCTCTTCACCGCTAACAGCAAAGAGAGACTCGGCTGTACCATCACTGTGTGACTATCATATTGCTTGCTCTGTCCACCGGACATTGAGCACTCCACGCATAGGAGACACCTATGTAGACTCATAATTATCAAACGCAGCACTGTTGCAGCCATGAAAAATGGGAGGTAACCCATCCAGGTGATACAGTGAGTGCGTTCAATTATGTCCGCGAATCGATTCATGAATCCATTCATGAATCGATCGGCGCTATTCACATCACCCCATGTGAATAGGGTGAATGGATTCCGAATCGATTCCAGGGCTCATGACATGAAAATCGAACGACTTGAATGCACTTGAATCGATTCATGAATCGATTCAAGTGCATAATTGAACGCACTCAGTGGAACACCCCTTATCCATACAGGTTAGGACCGAGCACTGCTCGTAAGTTAAAGGGGAAGTTAAGGCAAAAATCAAAATTTCACCAGTTGTAGTCTTCGGGTGCTGAGTCGAATGGTCTTGGTCCGAGAAAGCTGAGACGCTCCCTTCCTACTTGAATCCCAATCGAACTCGCGCACTTCCACCGAAACTGGGTGACTGCGCCCTACTAGATGGGGATTTGTATGCAAAATGTCACTAAAAGCGCCATTTCGTTCTTATGACCACGATTGGCCCATATGTTGTAGTCTTTTGGACACTGAGTCGACTGGTTTTGGTCCGAAAAGGCTGCGATGCAGCGTTCCTCCTTTATTCCCAATTGAACATGGTTGAACAAGCGGTCACGTGCTCCTGCGTACACCAGTCACCTGGTCACCGTGCCTGCAGGGTACTACTTACTAGCCTGTTTGACCTTTTTTGGCTGCAGTCCTGTCACTCGAGTTGAACTCGAGTTGAACCTTGGTGTGAAAGTTGTCGCCTGCTGGCGTGGTGACCAGGTGATTTGGGCACCCAGGAGCACGTGACCGCTTGTTCAACCATGTTCGATTGGGAATAAGGGCCGAACGCTGCATTGCAGCCTTTTTTTTTTTATTTGTAAGGAGTTTTACTGTACCATTCTGGCTGAGTCTACAGAAGACGTACACGATTCTATCTTCCAGTAGCTGGTTGTTGGTGCGGACTATGCCGTGTGGTACAGAGCACACTGCCGCATGCGTGAGATGATTGACCGGCGCTACAATGTTCTCGCCTAGGCCACCGCTGGTGCGGGACTCTCTGGTGCCCAGGATGTCCACCACACCCAGAGCCATGGAGTGGACGGCCTTGCCAAAACCAACCACCTGTCAACAGAAGAAGAGCATGAACACAACAAAGCACGCGGTGAAGTATTTAGACAAGCGGCGCTGCTCTCGCTGTGCGGTGTGATTCTATCTGGAAATCCACGTCCAACTGTCCTTTTGATCATGCATCCCTTGCGGGCCAAGCATGGTGAAGAATCGTGAAAAATAATATGCCCCTGCCTAGCTAGCGCCTTGTCACGTGACATGAGGCATTATTAGCATTTGAAATGGAAAAACAGTAATAATTACTGTTTTTTTTATAATTACTGTTTTTTACTTTTTATTCACGAGAACAAAACTGTACGACATGTTGTGAGTCAAGTGCAGATCACAAATTTTTGTCTCGGAGACTTGTGGCAGTTGTGCAATCCAGCATTCCTGTCTCCAGCCACAGCCCCGAAACCTATTTTCGGTACAAAAAGCGACGTGGAGAAAAAAAATTATTCCATTTTCGGTACGATAAACGATATCAACAGTTCACAACCATGGACTCTTGACGATATCTGATCTCAGCTCTGTTTCCATTGAGCTACACTGAAACCCCCCGAACCCTCTGGCAGGCTCTACTAAGGGTACATGAACATGAAACCCAGAGTGTGCACTGAGCCTTCTTTTCTGACTTTTTCTGCATGGGTGTCTGTCATGGCGAAATTCCGGGATTACATCATAGTTGTTTTAAAGTACTAGTATACAGCGGGAAGTGGCGTAGTGCGTACAACTGAGCTGCAGTTGTGCAGCAGGAAACCTGCTTGAAGCCCGTGTGTATGCACTGCGTCACTGACTAAAATGATGTAATCCCGGATTTTCGCCGTGCCAGCAACCCATCAGAGCTGCACACTCTGGGTTTCATGTACTCTTGGCTCTACCGACTTCCGGCTATACGAATCATTACCGGCCTCAAAGCTAGTACATGTACAATCATGTAGAACCTGTAGGGGAAACTAGAAGCTACCGTTTGCGGTAAAATAAAATGAACGCCTCTACCAAAAACAGTAGGTTCTACCAAAACCTGTAGATCAAAAACGAACGCCCCCAAAAAGTTCAAAATCCGAATCTCAAGAAATAAAAAAAATTGTAGATCTACTCCTACCTTGACATTTTCTTGCAATGGAAACTCGTACTGCTGACCATCTGTTTCCACAAGGAGAGAGTTGCTGACTCGCTTCACAGCTCGCTCTACGGCAGATCGTGGCGACACGGCTTCGACACCGACCTGGAAAATACTTCGGGCCAAATTTCTCAAGCAAGTAGTGGAGGACGATGCCATGACGTGAGCCGAAAATGAAAACCTGTACACGGAGGGCACGCGTGGTGCATGCAGGTAACTAAAACGGTTTTACTTGCCGAGTGTCCGAAACCAGGTTCTGAGATTTTATGACTACAAAGTCTCAAAGTGTTACTAGTAGTTGTTGGAACTCAGGTCCATCAATCAGCCTAGCTGGATCATGGCCAAGTAAAAACAATAATGTTTCCGAGATCTAAACATTGAGATACATGTAAACAGGGATGAAATAGCCGCTACTGCGCTGGCCTGTGCCTGTGCAGGCTGTGGAGTGTGCATGTGGTGCAGTCGTTGCGTATGTCAGAGTGTGATCACGTGCACCATGTGCACCGATAGACCATGATTGTGCACGACTTGAAGCACTATCTGATCATATCAGTACAGTCTGCTTGGTGGGTCGATGTACTTATCACTCCCGGAGTATTGACTCCCATAGATTTTTGCCATACCCAGGCTAAGCAGTCAAATATTCCTGCATATTTCACTCCTCTAATAGGGCTATATTGACCACTTATATTTCACTCCTTTTTAGCGATTGAACACAGGGTTTGGCTAGTCGTGATAAATCTAATATTGACTTCGTACTTGGTCAGATAGGAAATAAAAGACCTCGTAAAAAACCTCGGCTTCGCCTCGGTCTTTTTTTTAATACTCGGCTTTTATTTCCTATATTGACCTCGTACTCAGTCAATATTAGATACGTAACGACAGTACGTTGATGATCTGATTCTGAGTGCATGCTTGCTGCTCATGATTCCGTTTCCTAATCCTAGCCTCCTCCAGTCCACCATGTCCAGTCTCCCTCACCTGTACTGTACTACTGTGCTGTCAGCACCTCCAATCTATGATCTTCTCATCGACATCAATGCACTAAAAATGAAATTATTTTGTTCCAGCACATCAACAAGCGTTGTAACATGCTGTCGAAATCGAAAGCATGCTATTTTCGCGACCATCACACATTTGCGAATATAAATCGCCGCAAACTGCTCTGTGCAACAGCAGTTCTGCCCAGAGCTAGCTGCATGCTGCCAAGCACTGTGCCGCATACAGTAGGCGACAGTGTAACTATTGTTGGCCCGGGGTGTTAGCATGCTCTCAGGTCAGGGGCATGCGGTCCGGCCAGCCCCAGGCTTGATGCGGCATCCACAACACTATTATTAAACCGCATGTGGACATCGACTGTGCTAAGGCTGTAGACCTCAGACCAGACATGGTACGCACAGTATCTACATCAATCATGATTTGACAAGGCAGCAGCAAGACACTAGACGTCGTGCCTTGCCTACCTTCAAGCAGCTCCGTGCCAAAGGTATAAGATGTACCCTTCCGCTTGACATAATTCTTGTTGAGGGAAAGCCGGTATCCCAGCAGGATATCCAGCGACTTTTGTCAGGTAATTCTTCTGCATAGGACCTACGGGGATCTCCAAAAACCGCATTTAGAGCAATAACACTGTGCACTATCAACTGCTGCAGCCTTATAAGCAAGCAAGCGGAAATCGTACAGTTAGTCAAGTCAGAATCGGTCGACATTATCTGCTTGACAGAAACCTGGCTCAAGCCCAATATACCAGATGCGGCTATTGCGATTCCTGGTTACACATTGTACCGTTTTGACCGCGCCAACACATCCCTGCCATGGTCCCAACTTGGTGGGGGTGGAGTGGCGCTATTTGTCAAGGAACAATATACCTGCAGTGTTCGACAACAGCCTGGGAATAACAGCTGTGAAATGCTATTGGTTGAGGTAAAGCTTCCTGGTAGACCTCTGTTTGTATCTGTTTGGTACAGACCTCCACGACAACCAATTGCTGCAATTACGAATTTATTTAACGAGCTCTCTCATGTATTCGATGACCACAACTGTGTAATGTTAGGTGATTTCAATGCAAGAAATTGTGCATGGAAGGACTCTGACGTCACTGACAGTAGTGGTAGAGCACTGCAACTGGCATTTGTGCAATATGGATTCACGGTTATCAATAAGGATGGTACACGCCCCAATATGCGCAGTGGTTGCACTCCTCTACTTGACATCGTAGCAACCAATATTCCAGATATCATCTCGTCTACCACCACTCTCCCACCCCTGTCAGACCACTGCCCCGTTATCGTTTCTCTTACACTACGTGCACCAACACCACAACGGACAACTCTACTGCATCGAACAATTGATTTTAATAGGCTTCGTTTCCTGATGGAAAGGGAACCATTCCTTGAGCGCCTCTATGGATGTGAAACTGTTGATGCTTCTTGGAAAGCATGGGAATCCCATTTCCTAGATTTAGTTGAAAGGTCATCAACCTGGGTGCGTAAGCGTGATCAGCGAAATCAGACATGGTATACACCTGACCTGCGTCAATTTCAGCGGCGACAGAATAGACTGTACCATGCTTATTTGCGAAATCCACAATCAACTGAAGCAAAGGCAGCGTACTGTGTATCCAGGAATATTTATCGTAAGAAAATCCGTGCTGCCAGATCTGCCTTTCTTGATCGCAACGCTGCCAGTATCTCGAAGGGTTGCACGAAAGGTGGATATGTGTGGTGGAGGAGAGTTAAGGACTTTTGCAACATTTCAACTCGTAAACCATTGATACCAGATTTGCAAGATGGCGATCGTCGGACTAACACGCAATTGCAAAAGGTGAACCTTCTTGCACAGCATTTCGCCAATCAGTGTACGTTACCACAAGAAGCAAATCAATTCCCTTGTTTAGATTCCTCCCTTGACACTACCACTCCTCGGTTCCAGATGTCAACATTTTCACCAGGTCAAGTCCACTATGACCTTACACATCTTTCGTCTCGAAAATCGACTTCAAGTAATTATATTATTCCAGTACTCCGGTCCATGGCTGATTTAGTATGCGAGTCCTTGTCTTACTTGTTCAACCCGCGATATTCATGTTAAAACAAAATGGCGTCACGATTTATTGAAAGTGGTATAGTTGGTGGAACGAGTGTTCAAACCCATTTGAACTTCATACTGTTCGTCTTCTTTTTGACATGCTCCCTTTCCATCGTCCTTAGCTTTTGTTTGTTGAGAGCTGTTTTGGCTTTCTCCTATACCTCTGGGGGATGCCAAGTGATGGCTTTGAGAGGCTGGTGATGGCTGTGAGCGAGAGTTTGCCGATCGGCGTCGTCCTCGCTATAGCGATGAAAATACTAGTTACTGCGCACCTGGCACATATCACAACACGTCGGAGCGTCCAGGAGCAAAGGAATCTTGGGTTTTCACTGGAATCTAGTTCCTCCAGCATCGTGTAGCCCACCGTCGGTGAATGGCGGTCCAGAAAGGTCGAACCTGGTCTTCTGCAGCATCTCGCAGTCCTGCGAGGCACACTGAATACGCCTGTCATGTATTCTACAAATAAAAATCACGAAGTTGTGGACTTTACAGTGATGAGTCTATCCTGTATGCTGCAAAAGACGCAGGAAATGTGACTGGTGTCTGTACACTCAGTGACTGGACGCCAACACCCCAGTCTTCTCCTGCAGGATCTGTTTGACATTGACATTATGCAGTAGGTCGGCATTGACCTGGTTTGGCAGCTATCGTTATAGTATCTGCCTGTTTGGATGTAGCAGGTTGGTGTTTGCTCGTCGTCCAGTCCGGAATTTTCTTGTAACTCACGGTGGAGTACGCGCAGGGTTTGTGATCATCCCTGTTCACTTCAATATTATCAAACACAACGTTCCCTCTGTCACTCATCTTATCCTGAGTACTGAATTTGCTGACAATATTGCACCATACTTGTCACAACCTACCGCCACTGCTGGCGGTGGCGACTGGTTCGTCAATGGCGGTGACCAGGCTGACTGACTAGCTTCGAGACAGCGGCCTCGTTGTCAATCCCGCGGCAGCCTAAAGGTTGATTTTATTCATCCAGCCTCAGCGCCATGTTGACGATGCCCTAGTGACTGTGTGTCATGGATTGCCTTGCCATCAGCGGTCATTGCCGTCCACCTTGATGCAGCCCTCAACAACTGGCTCAGCCCATGGGAGTCTCAAGTGGACAAAATTGTTGCCAAAGTAGCTCAGAAGATTGGTGCATCGTGGTGTAGGTGAGCACATAACTAGGACTTCCCAGCGTCTATTTGTCCAGGCTGCGATACTATGTGACATGCTGTACTGCACATTCTTTTCAGCACTGCAAGGCCGGCAGCTGGACCGACTGCAGGGGCCGCGCACATGCAGGCCGCCTGTTGCCAGTGCAGCATTCTGGAACGTTCCTTCCTTCTGAGATCCGTGGAATAATAACTTTCTTTGCTTCAAAGCAAGTTGCTTACCTTTCTGTTGTGCTCCCAGTGTCCTTACAACAATAACCTACAGCAATGTTTTATTTTCCTTTCCATTCCCCAACCAATGAATACTACGATGTCGATTCTATTTCTTCATACTTTGGTGTGTGCCCGCGCACGCACGTGTGTGTGTATACCTCACTCGCCACTCGAAGTTCTGTTCCCCATCACTGGAACACTGCCTGTTCTTTCAGGACCTGCCATCATCTGCGGATGGGCATTCAATAATTTTATTGTGTGTGTGTTTCATTCAGAATCAGATTCGCTATCATTGCTATTAGAGATAATCTGTGGGTTCACATCCAGTGCATTTTTAGATCTGCGTGCTTTTCTCGCCACGGGCGCATACATGGGACATTGTGTGTGTGTGCGTCTGTGTGTATGGGGATATTGTCTGTATCGGCTTTTGGTACTAATGTTCAGGTCTGTGCTTGCATGTGTGAACATGAAATTGTTCGGTTCTGTGCATGCTATTGCTATGTTGTTTATTATTGTATGTATGTGTGCATTTCCACGAACAGTGTAGACGAGCGTGGAGAGTGCATTCATCCCTCATCAACCACTTCCCCTTGGGCTTACGAGAGTTTTTTCTGCGTACCTCTCTGATACTGTATTGATGCCGGCACCTGTACCTCGATGTGTTCCTCTATCTGCAGTCGCCTTTAACCTTCGGTCAAGTTAACGTTTATTGTGCTCTATTTATCGTGCGAATCAAAATAAACAATAATAACACAAGTCGTGCTAGAGTGACGACATGTGCGTGTAGTAGGGTTGATGCGATGGGACGTTATAATTAGGTGGAACAGAACACACATTGGGCAGATTGATTGGGCATCATTGATTGTGCTCAGTCTAAACAGTGAACATAATAATTATCTCCAGTGACAGACTGTAGCGGCTAGCCTCCAATAGGTAGCTGGCACTAGTCGCTACTGCTTGTTTGACAGGTGCC